TAAGTATTATATTATAATTTAACTTTTACAACACAAAATAAACATCATCTAATTAAATAATTTGTTTTTTTTATTTCTTTATAATAACCAGGGTGTAAGTATTATATGGGGCATGCTGCAACAAAACCAGACAAAGTGAACATTTGTATTATCAAGAATTTCAGGGATCAATAATGTTTGTTAATACACACTGATTCATGTAAATTTCAAGTCACATTAATCCACTTTGGTGATTATTACTATGTACAAAAACTCTTGTAAGTCTATTGTCACTGTGGGACAAATTTGTTAGTAAAATCCATTATGTAAATGGGTTATGTTTAAATCCATTGTAATTCCCTGAATGAGAATTAAATTTTTTTTTTTGCTATAGTTGGCTCGGTCTAAAGACCTCCTAAAATTTGCATAAATTTTAAAAGTATAGAAGTCATTTTCTGTCCTACCTTTTAAAAAAATAGCATTATTAGTTGATAGAATAGGTCTTTAGTTTTAATGTAATAACAAGATATTCTCAAAAAATTTATTTGTTGTAGAGTTCTATTCTTTTTTAGAACATGTACTTTACTATGTTCACAAGGAATTTGTCTTGCTATGATCATTACTAAATTTAGACCAAACACGAAAAATCATTTCTAAATTTAGATTAGCACACGACCATCATATCTAAATTTGGCAGTACGAAATAATTTTTTAAACCTAAAATCACGTGAAACCCTATTTTCAAAAATTTTAGAAAAATTTTTATTGCATTTTTGAACGAATTACAAAATTGCTATTTTTGAAATTTGTCTATGTGGCACAGAGATAGGAGGTCTTTAGACTGAGCCAACCATACTAATTTTGAAAAACTTATTTTCCATAATTAGATGTCCAGATCATGAAAATACAGATTCTTGTTCATATTGTAAAATAGTAATTAACAGATCATAGGAATTTAATAATAAACCAGAAATGATTTACAAGCACAGTCATGCCTCTTTTATACCCCCACAGCAATTCATTATCATTATCATCACCAATACCAATATTATCATCACTTCCATTATCATCATTGTCATTATTAACAAAGCTCAATTTTAGCAGAAATATTAATGATGCTGAAAGTGATGATAACTGTTTTTTTTTAATAAAGAATTTCTAAAAAAATGCATCATGTGCATGAAGATTGAAATTTTCATGCAATCTCCTATCTCTAAAGAACAATAAATTGAGTCATTTTAAAATTATTTTCATTTTATTATTTATTATTAATAAAGTGCTAAATCATTTCTTTTTGATGTCTTTCACTATATAAATTTACCAATACTAATATTATTGCAAATGATGTTTTTCTAATTTAGCTAAATGAATATTCAAAAGAAAAAGAAAAGGTGAAAAAAAATTTGATAAATATAAATAAATAATTATTAATTTTTTTTTGCTTTTTTTTTCTGATTTTCATCCTTTTTTTGAAGAGGAGAATTGACTTCAAAATCAACTACCCAATCCTTAAGTGGAATACTGTTTTTATGATTATTTTTATTAGATAAAACATCTAGAAAAATTTTGTGATTCTTATCCACTGCATCCTAAAAATCATTAAATTTTCTTTTAGAGCCTCTAATGAGAATATATGTGAAAAACTTCACATGAGTCAAATAAATAAATATTTACCCTTAATAACATTAAATAAACCAGTGTATCATAAATGTCATGATAATTATATATATTTGTAGGAAGATTAGTACTAAAAAGCTCTTCAAATATATATAATTGTGGGTGCTTTAAATACATCACATAACCTTTCAATTCCAACCCTAAAAAAATATTGATTAAAATAATATTCTTTGATGATAATTGATATTTCATTAAAAGATGTTACCTGAAGTCCTTACACCAAAGAATTTAATTTTATAAATTTTATTAAGCTTATTCTTTTTTGATAATATTTCAGATACAAAATGTATCTGATTGTGAAGTAGTAATTGTAATTTTGTATAATCTCTTTTGCTCTTTGGAAGATCTAAGAGTGCTATTTTTTTTGCATGCTCAATGCACAAAATTTCTATTGATTTTCTTTTATACTTTATTTTAATATCAGGAACAAGACCTAATTTAGTTCTTGAATCATTATCTATATTCTTACAATATTTATTTGCTAGGTGTTCTCTAAAGATGAAAGAAGTTAAATTTTACAATCAAAAAACAAATTATTATTTGCAACTGCTCTTTGGATCTAATTAATATTTAATTAATATGCCTATCAGAAAATTTAAGTTTCTTAACAACAAATTTAATGAATAAATTGCTTACTTGCAAATCTCAACATTAAACTCTTTAGATCTAAATAAAGAAAAAAACATAGGATCATATAATATAGCTGCAATATGGGGCTCAGATAAATCCTGATCAAAATATTCTTCGTTAATACTAAATGTATTAGAACTAGGAATAAAATTAAAAATTGATTATAACATTGATAGTTAACAACAAAGATTAAAACTTATACTATATACATTAACCAACATTTATGAATTGTCAAAATAATATTACTTACTATATTCTTAGAGTATCAAGTATAAACTTTAAAAAAATATTATTTTGATTAAATGAATGGTAATCTTCAAAACATTGAAATGTGTCAATCATATTGATAATATCATCAATGTTACTGAAGTCTTTAATTGCTTCCAATAATTTTCCAACATTTAAATCAGCAATAGAAGATATAAACTCCTCAAATTTTGATGAAAAACTAGTATCGTCAGTTAATTTGTTTTTAACATGTTTGTAAAAATTTGATTTGTTTTTAGAAGTATTCTGTAGGTCTATTATACCAATTCTAATATAATCGCTAATAAAGATATCAAATAAATAATTAATTAACCAAAATAAAATAAATAATTTTAATAAAATATCTATATCTTACTTTTTTGGTGATTTTTCATAAAGAAGTTCCATTTCTGCTTTAAATTTTCCTAAATCCTATAATAATAATAATTAAAAAAAATTTTTTTAATTTTTCCGAATTATCAGATCATAATTCTAGATAGTTACTTTATTATAAGAGAATCCGAAATTGGGGGGGGGGGGGTTTTGTAACAACACCACCTAGAACTTCTAATTCATTTTCTTTATCTCTAATATTAAAGAATAATAAATGTAAATTAACATTATAACTAGAGTGACGACAAGTGGTGGGCGATAACCACCATCATTATTCTTTTTTTAATACTTACTCTCTCACCTCGACTGCATCTTTGCCTTTTCTTTTTTTGCCAATAATTTTTTTATTGTTTGGCTTTTTTTTTGTTAAGTTTGATTTGATCGACGTGTACACATTAACTATTTATCCTATTGGTTTTTTTTTTGGTATGGTTGGCTTGGTCTAAAGACCTCCTACAGCTGCGCCACGTGCTCAAATTTCAAAAATTGCAATTTCATGATTCGTTCAAAAATGCAATAATTTTTTTTTAAAAAGGGTTACACATGATTTTGGTTAAAAAACTATTTTCCTTACTGCCAAATTTAGATATGATGGTCGAGTATTAGGCTAAATTTAGGAATGATGAACAAAAACTAGTCTAAATTTAGCAATGATCATAGCGCTCAAATTTCTCATGAACATAGTAAAGTACATGTTTTAAAAAAGAATAGAACTCTACAATAAATAATTTTTGGAGAAAATCTCTTCATTACATTAATAGTAGAAACCTATTTTACCAAATAATGAGGCTATTTTTTTAAAAGGTAGGACAGAAAATGACTTCTATACTTTTAAGATTTGCCCAAAATTTAGGAGGTCTTTAGACTGAGCCAACTATAGGACGGACGCGATTTGATTTTTTTTTTCTTTTTTGGAAAAACAATTTATTTTTTGACAGAGTCCAAGGTAACAAAACGTGAGTGTTGTTGTTTGGTTTATGGTTTGGTTTGGGTCTCTTAAAGTAACGTGTTAATAGCTAACCAGAGGTACTTTTTTTTAATTTGCATTGATGTTTTTATTTGTTTATAAATATTTTAATTGGAAATAAAACGCGGAACAGATCATTGCTGGGTAACTACAAGATTTTCATTGATAATATTTTACTTTTCATAATCAATATTAATATACTATTATTATAAATATTATAATCACAGGATGTCAAGGCAGCACACCATTTAAAAAGAAACATTTCGAATATGTGATGTTTGATTATCAGAAATTGGCAGGCGTTGAAGCACGCACGCTACCATGAACACTTTACAGTCATTCACACACGTTCCTCATGTACATAAGGCTAATCTTGGCCTGGCGACCCAAAGATATGATGATGCAACAAAATTCCAGAAGGTGCGTGGATCTGGGGTTTATCAAAATATTGCATCATTATCAAAGATACTTTCACTACTTAAACTTCTTCCCTCATGGCACATGAGCTAGCATTACTGTATATGCATGCTAGCTAAAAAGTTGTTTGCAACGGTCCTACTTCTAGGATAAAGATGGATGGTTCTGTGACCAAAGAGTTGCAACCTTGGATGTTGCAGCATTAAAGAATTGTGATTTTAAATGTACATCAACATCTAGATTCATCAAAGCAATGAAAATCTGCAACTCGTTTCAAGCACAGGAGGTCACAATTCAGAGCAGGGTTGGTGGCCCTGAAATTGCATTTGGGCTCTGATGTTAAGAGGAAAGTTGTAAAATAATGTTTGTTTTATATAATCATTTTCCTAAATGCTCTGTTTTTCTTTAATTTGTTTTTTGAATGGGGGTAGGGTTGTTGGTCAGCAGGCATGCCACTAACAAAACAGCAACCCAGGACTAAAAACTCGGAATTCAGGGAAAAACCAAAACAAAAACCCAGGTTGTAATCTCCGGAATTAGAGAATTTTGAATCAGGTGCCAACTTTTATTCTAGTGTGGCAATAACACAAGGCAATCATCACACAAATGCCGATTCTCATCAGCAAACAATGCCCATATAGCGACTGCCAAGCCTGGTATGAGGGGAAGATAAAGAAAAGTTTTGTCCAAAGCCTTCCAACTTGTTCAGGACCACTTCACCTGTGGAAAGAAAATTCCATGGTGCTGATTGTGCTTAATTGCGCAGTCCTGCATGTTTGTGATAGGAAATTTTAATTAAATCTGACACCTGTGATCAACATCAGATTTATTATTCACAAGCAACCATAATTGATAATCAGGAAAAATAATTTATTTTATGAACCCCAAAGATCTGGGTAGACACGCATTGTTAAAAGTTTCATTTTTGCATGGCCTTGGTATTGTTACTACCTGGGTGATGCAATTGTTTGTTATGTCAATGATGATATCAAACATATTGAATAATAATCATGACCACCATGAATATTTGATGGATGGAGGCATTTACACACAAGGAAATGATTAAATAGCCAAGTCATGTTTGTTTTATTAAAGATATATAATTAATTATATTTAAAAAATTATTATTTTATTTCATCTTTGTAATGACATTAATTTCAATAATTCTGAAATTGTTTGTTTCTTAGTGTTAATAATTGAATCAATCACACAAGTGATAGTCAGTTTAGATGGCTTTTTTTAAAAAAAGTTTAGTTTAATTAATGTTATTAAATGTTTTTTTTATTAACACTATAATATAATGGCATGTCTAATTTCGGAATAATTTTTTTTTGGTACATTTCAATTGGATTTTATTAGATCAAACAATATATTCAGCAAAAATCTCAGAAGACTACATTGTGCATTCATTCTAAGATAAAAAAATCTGTTTTAATGTTTTAGTATAATCATGTAACAATTTATTTCGTCCTTTAATCTTGTGCTACGAAATGAGGCACAGTAACACGAAACTTATTCGCGTAACGTGTTTAAATTAAATGAAACGTTACTATCTAATTTTCTTATCTTTATTATTGTTTATATTAGATACATCTTTATTTATATTATATTATATTATTATTTATATTATTGTTTATGTTATCTATATTATTATTTATATTATATTTATATTATCTTCTTTATGTATATGAGTACAAATTAAGCGCTGCAGCTTTCTGGGAAGTTCTAAGATATTATTATGATTGATAATTATTTATTTATTTAATTGTAATTTATATTATACATTTTCTGTATAAAAAGATAAGCTTTCTGTAATCAATAAAACTTAACTTGTATTTTTACAATAATTAAAATATTTGTTTGTATAAAATATTAATCTTTAAGAGATTCTTACAAATCAACAATTTTCTTCAATTGTTTTTTTAGGAATAACAATAATTATCTTTTATTTGTTTGTTTATCTGTTTTAGTTGATCAATAAATCTCAGGTCTCAAGATAATTTATCTTATCCATTTTTAGTATGTAATAAATAATAGATAATTTAATCTTGACATAATTATTGTTTCATGGAACCAATTGAGGATTTTTATTCTCTTTTATATCAATTATTGAATCTATGCTTGAAAATACTTCTGTCTG